TCTTTGAAACTGTCCAATTGTTGTTTCCAGAGCTTTATGCATAACTCTTTGATGGAAATAGTACCTCTGGTAATCTCAGCTATGCCACATCCCAAACACCATCGGGACATGGATCATCTTCTTTCCATGTCGCACCACTACAACTTATGGACACCCCTTCTGTTAACATAGATGAGGATGGTATCTTTTCCAATCATACTACTCAGCCACCACCTTCTGCTGCTTCACCTTCTGGTACCCCCAACAAAAGAGCTAAACCCTCAACTCCTAGACCTCGAGCTGCTAGTGCCTCACCTGAGCCACCTTCTAGTGCCTCCCCTAAAGCTTCTATTATTGCTGATGATTTAGCATTTGGAGATGCAGAAAGCTCTACGACATTTGACTCAAGGGCCAACAATTCCCCAATGTTTAGAGAAGCTAGAGCTACTCGAGTTAGGCCCAGTAGACCCTCTACGATTTGCTGGTTATCATATTTTTGGATGGACCATGAATATGAGAGAGATGTGACTAAATTTGCCTAATGATCCACAAATATTAAGAGGATGGATCGAGATGACAGCTACAAGTTTAGGAATATTGAAGGATGGAAAGATTGTCCATGAAGTTTACATATTGGAATTGTTTAGGTTTTAATTGCATGTGTTAGAACTATGTGGTTATGTCTTTTGGTTATTTGGTACTTGGATGTTATTTGTAGTATGTGGTTATTTGGTACTTGAATGTTATTTGTAGTATTTGGAACTTGAACTATGTGATTATGTATTTTGGTTATTTGGTTATGTTATTTGGTACTTGAGTTTTATATTTTTTTATTTGGTACTTGAGTTTTATATTTTTTTTTTTGGAACTTGAACTATGTGATTATATATTTTGGTTATTTGGTTATGTTACTTGGTACTTGAGTTTTATATTTGGTACTTGTGTTGATTAATAGGTTCCTAATGGATCACGACCAAAAGATACTACTCATAATTCTAATGTACTTGTACGTCCGCTACTTTTGGAAAAGGGGTGTAAACGAGTGCGGGACAACGATTCGGAAATGACGGGACATGAATTTACGTTGGAGTTACTTCACCGTAATCCTCTACAATGTGTTGAAGTGCTACGCATGTCCCGTGAATCATTTTTCCGGCTATGTGCTCATTTGAGAGTAAACTACGCGTTAAAGGATAGTAAACATGTGTCGGTTGAGGAGAAGATGGCTATGTTTTTTATAATGATCGGTCATAACCAACGTTATGTGATTATCAAGCGGAGATTTCAACACTCGAAGCAAACAATTCATAAGTTTTTTCATGAAGTGTTGGACAAAATGTTGTTTTTCGCACATGACATTATAGTGCCAACTGCTTTTAATCTGAATCCAAACATTCTGGGACATAATAGGAGACTACATTGTGGGACATAATAGGAGGCTACGATGGGTGTTCAAGGGAGTGGTTGGTGCACTTGATGGCACTTTGATACATGATGTTGTCCCTGCAAACAAACGGAATTTATATAGAAGTGGGGGAAAAGGCGATTGTTACCAAAACGTATTGGTAATATGTGACTTCAACATGATGTTTACGTTTGTTGTGGCCGGTTGGGAAGAGATAGCACACGATTCTAGAATTTTATCAGAAGCATTAGCAAATCCACATGCACCATTCCCGCTTCCACCACCAGGTAAATTTATGGTTATTTAAATAGTTTTATCTTAGCTTGAAAAAATAAATGACTTTTTTTTATTTTTTTACTGATAAATATTATCTTTGTGATGCCGCTTATGCAAACATTCGAGGTTTTATGGTACCATACCGTAATGTGAGATATTGGCTTGGAGATTTCCGTCGAAGACGTGCATTAACGAATAAAGAAAAATTTAACCATGCACACGCAAAACTTCGGAATGTCATTGAGCGTGCTTTTGGTGTCTTGAAAGCACGATTCCCTATATTGAAGAGGATGGCACCATTCTCATTGGTTACACAACAAAATATTACCCTAGCATGCTTTGCGCTTCATAATTTTATAAGAAGAGAGGGACTACGTGATGAGTTTTTTGCACGATATGACGAACCAAATGTCTCGGTTCGGAATAATAATGCAGTCGTTGATAATGATGAAGATGAGATTCCAACACATGGTACTGCAGCGGACCGTGAATATATGACCCAGTTAAGAGATGAAATTGCCGAACAATTGATGCAAAATATGGAATGAAAATTATTAAAGTTTGGTTGTATGAATTTTATTTAAAAATGTTATTGTAAGACTAATTTGGTTGTTTGAATTTTATTTCAATGTTTTAAGACTACAATTATTAAATTTTGGTATTAAAAAACTATTTTTGGTTTATTAAATTATTTTATTTTAAATTTTTTAATATCTGCAACTGTTAAAAAACATACATGTTTCTCATTACAGTCTGCAGCACTTTGGTCCACCTCTTCTGCTGCAGAGGGTTGCAGAAGTGATCTGCAGACTTCAGACAGTTTCACTTCGAAAAAACAAAGAGCACCTAAAGTTGTAAAACACATTCCATATATTATTTTTGTAATTTACTTTCACTTTTCCACAAAAAGCAAACCATAACCATCAACTAATATTCAAAACCTGTCTAGTGAGATAATTTAACAACTCTAACACAACCTTTAAATCTACCGAGCAACATGCTCATTCCTGGATCGTTATTGTCATCAATGAGACAATGATGTCCATGCATCTCTATGGGGTGCTACAAGATGCAAATGATGCCTATACATATTGCCATTGTATTGCCATTGTATTCACTTGTTGCTTATGCAAATTGTTTTTTCCTATGAGCTTAACTTTATACAATTGGTGCTCTCTTCTTCATGAACTACATTTATGATAATCTTGACCCGGTTAGAAGATGTAGTTCAAATTAATTTATTATTTTTTAATTTTATTAGTGACTAAGGTTTAATTTATAAATTTGTTAATCAAAAAAGGGAGCAAAGATACAAGAGATAAATGGAAGGAGCAAACACCAATTTTGTGCCAATGGCGAGGGTTGGGACTTGGGAGTTTTTCACTTCGACTAGGGAGAAAAGAAGGGAAAAATACTAATTTAAAAAACTAAAAAGCAAAATAGCTATTTAACAAAACTAACAGTTAATAGTTTAGATTTAACGACTCATAGACCAAATCCACAACAAAATCAAACCACGGAGATAGTTTTGAAACAAAATTTGAATTTGGACAAAACCAGCAACAACCGGAGAAGCATAGGGACCAAATTTGTAATTTACTCTTAAAAGCTATATTCCATGAACTTGATGAAATCTCACCTCATCTGCATCAGCCCCAAAAATCGATGAAATAAATAGTACTTAATCCCACATCAATCTTCAAATTGTGGTATGGAGTAAAGATTTCTCTGCGACACAAAGAATTCAAAAGGACGAACTCTTTATGTTAGGGTTTCGAGACATATATAATCAATATAGTAAAAAAAATATATCATTTACAAATTCTCGTATAAAATCATAATCAAAGAATGTTGGCCTCCCTGAAGATAATTTATAACCAATTTGTAACACTCCTCCCCATTCTATAAAATTTCTAATCCGTTACTATTAAGTATTAACAATAATCCTCTCTCCTCTAGCCTCTCTATGTCAAAGTTCCAGCTGTCTTGAGTTTGTGTCTGCGGTTGTGACCTGTGGATGTGAACCCACCATGGCCATATCCTTAGTTTTGTGAAGAAGAAAAGTCCCACATAGAATTGTCACAAAACCACAAAGCTCCGTTGCAATCTGGGCCCCACTCTGATTGTCCCAGTCCTGTCATCATTCACACCAACCACAAAACCTAATCATAAAGGGCATTTACGTCTTTTCACATAGACAAAAGCCCATGTCCCACCACCTTTTTTGTGTGGGACAAAAACTAACAATTTGTCCTATTGACATCAATATCTGTGCAACCTTTTTTAGGGTTACTTTCGATTATGAAGATCAGGACGGTATTTACGTCTTTTGTACAGATAAAAGTTACAATTTGGCCCCAATCTCAGTCCAATGTATGTCAAAAGCAGTACAAGGGCGTCTGTATTGTCATGTGTAACAAAATGGAGAATCACAAATTCACAATTACCTTGAACATGATTATGCTAGCGAGAATGGTGAGGGTAGTAAACATGACATAGTACACCGGAGAAACCACATTTGTATTAAACGTATCTAGTGCCTGAAAATAAATATTCCCAAATTATAAACAAACATCAAGATTTCATAAAACCAATCAAAGATTTTCAACTAGAGTACGCACTATAATAACAATTTTTAATTTGACAAACGTGCGTACCTTGTTCAAATAGTTTAGTTGCATAAGACAGAAAGCAAGAAGTAGCAAGGTGAAAAACCATGTTTCGAAGTATATGAACTGATTATGTCCTGAAAACGATAGCTTAATGGCAATCCCCACTGCTTTCACACACATAACCTACATTTTAAAACCCTAATGAGAGCACGAAAGATATCTATAAAAAAATAAAAAAGATAAATAAAAAACAAACCGTTAATGAGCCCATAAGAGAGCAGATTCCAACATATATCACTAAATGTGTGTGCCCATAACGTGGCTCATAATGGTAAATGAGTATCCCAACAACAACCACTACAATGGAAGCATACACCAAAAAACCTGTTTACACCAATCAAAAAAATGACCATTTTATCCTTACAATCCATTAAGTCATTATGTCAAGATTAAGTAAAAAAGAAAGAGTCGTTATATAGTTGTCAAGATTAAGTGCTTAACCCATTAAGCATATACCTGGCTCAGTTGCGAAATACCACACTTGTTTGACTGAACTAATAAGTGTCTCGTGTGGAGCATGTAACACAATCGTGGTGGACCCCACTAAGCAGAGTGCACACCCTACAACACCAAATATATGCATTCGTTCATCCAAAAAGTAATGGGCTAACACTGCACTGCATTCATGACATAAAAACACATAAAAATGTCATCTTTTCATCAACCAAAGCCTTCTCGTAATCTCTTAAAAAATATCCAAATTGCAAAAACAATTATCGTTTGCAAAAAAACTAACCTGACAATTATGCTTAGAGCTCCCAAAGGGGTAACAAGAATGGCAGGAGCAAATGCATATGCTGCAAAATTCGCTATTTCGCCTAAAATCACTGCAATTTTATAGAATCTCGTATTGTCATTCGACTTCAAAAAAGACATGATTTTATTAAAAGATTAATGTATTTAGAGAGAAATGAAAGACAATTGGGATTAAATTAGTACTTACTGCTAATCATCCCAACCCACCACATTGGTTGCTTCAAGTATGAGTGGCCTCCTGAACCTGAAACAGATTCCCCATTTCAATAAGTTGTTAATATTCTAAAATGTATTCGATTTCATTTTACATTAAGAATTAAGGAATTTTGATTGGATGAATATTAAACATCTACTCTTAACATGTATGGTGTTAGGATTTGATATTAAGTTATTTACCTACAGAAAGATTAAACTAGGGTTTCGGATTAACAATGATTCGTGATCAAGGATGTGCAACTTATTCAATATAATATAAATTGCATTTATAATTTTATATACGCCTGTATACAAACGCTATTCTAAAAGAATTAAAAAAGAACAAGAACAAGAATGGAACCTGCTCTGGTTCCTGAAGCACCGGCTTTCATGAGACCCTTTTTCTTGATAATAAAGCTAGACCCAATAAAAATACTTGATGCGAGAGCAAGAATAAGTCCATGGATATTATCAGATGATATTTCCTCCATTAAAAATGGAGAAAATATCAAATAACAAAATTCAGTCCAGGAAGTGAGAGTGCGAGAGAGATTACTTGATTGATTCTGCCCTAAACCCCAAAATTTGCGCGATAATATAAAAATATCCTCGAATCAAAAGAATTTAAAAAACCTTACGCTCTGTATTTCTGTACTCAATCAAACTCAAATCAATCATAAACACTTCACCTTTTCGCTGTATTCGCCAAAAGGTAGGTTGAAGAAAGATCTTTTTCTATAACACAATGTGTAATACAATTCACCACCGGTTTTAAAAGAATGGCTTTTTAAAAAGATTTCAACTTTTTAAAGCTTTTAAATACCAATAATGGAAAATAATATACAAACATGATGGTGTGTGTGTGTACGTTTGTACATCAATATGTATCACCCTTTACCTCTAGGTGCATGCCCTATCTCTGTCTCTCCCACAATCTATTCCATTTTGAGAGGAGAGCGTAGGGTTTTGGGGTAGAAGGGGAACAGAGAATGGGAAGCAACAAAACCAGTTTCGGTTACTTGTCGAGCGTGGTGAGCCTGGAAAAATAAAAATAAAAATGAAATATAATAATATAAAATCAACTCTCGCCACAGAATATCTGTCTAAAGATCCCGCTTTAATTGGATTTCAATTTCTACCCACTAAAATATATATTACTCTTTATTTAATTTAATGGGTAGATTACATTTTCACTTCTAGTGCTTTTATTTTTATTTTATTTTTTTACAAAAAGTAAAAACAATGTTGTTAAAATAGCAATCATGTTGGTGTTAGGATAGTATTATCTTATGATTTTACTATAAACGAAATCGATTTTTTAACAAAATTGAATTTAAGGTAAGATCGATATACGATAATAGGATTGCGAGTAAAAATCATAAGATTTTCCATTTAAAAAAGTAAGGTTTAGCATGAGTCGGTTTTGGGGTAAACTCAAACCCAAACCCACAAGTTCCATTTTTGGCTTTTGAAACTCAATGGATTTAGTTTTTTGAATAGGTTTAGATTTTCGGTTCTTTTGTTTCAACCCATGGGTTGATGGGTTTAGGTTCTAACATATGAGTCAAATCTTGTTCAAAGGTAGTTGGTCCATAGGTCCCTTCAAGTTATGAACTCGTGTGGGCATCAGCATTGTCATCATGTTGGCGTTCCCGCATGTAGTCTAAGATAAATGGTTGTAGTTCAAGAGTGTCGATCACTTCATTTAGGATGTTCTGCTAAATAGATAATTGCTAATAATCATTTATTGGCTTAAGCACTATCTCGGTAAGTTAATATACAATAATTATTAATAAATATGTTAAATGTACTAACTCGATCAATTATTTGTAACACCCTGATTCCAGGTAAATTTCAATTTTTATACCTAAGTTAAATTTGTGTGCAAGATTGGTCATTGCGTCATGCATACTTGGGGTGTACGCATGGTGTAGCTCACTTAAAAGGGATGTAAACTTAATTGAGTGTGATAGGCATACTCATTGGTACGTTGGGCTTACGTGGTCAGTGAGCAAACCCTAATTTTTTAGGGTTTAAGTATTATTTAAACATCCTTATCCCCTCAAAACCCTTTCCCTTATCAGCCTCTATCTCCCAAATCTCCCATTGCAAACCCTAATCCATTGTGTGAGCCTTTTTGAACTTGAGAGTATATTTTGGTATTCTTGAAAGAATGAGAAGGAAGGGGAATCATCATGGAAACTCAAGGCAACCTAGATCCAGAAGTATATCACCCTCAAACATCCTTTGAAGGTATAAAGTTTGTAACTTGTTAGTTCTTAGGTTTTTTGTTTTTTAGTCTCATAATCTGGGTGTTCATGAGTATGACTTACTCTAAAAAATAAGAGTTATCCTTTAAGACATTTTAGGTGCTTAGAACCATAAAAATGTGATATTGGTCATTTTATCCACTCTATGTAAGAGTTATGATGTTTTAGTTGAATATTAAGTTAGGGTTTAGTCTTTGGACCATTTCTAGCTGTGGAAACACATAAAGGTGGAAACCTTGTGACTTAGAATGATGTTTTGGATCTAATATGTCATCCCTGAATTTAGGTCTAAAACTATAGACAGTCAATTCACCGCAAACCTATTTGTAATTTGACATATTGAGCTTAAATGCATATTTTCAAAAATATATAGTGTCATTACAACTATTATAAGATACCAGATGGTATCTTACTTCCATTTGTGGAAAATCTCAAATGAATCACAAAGCACAAACGACAACCCTAGTTAATATGTCTGAAAATTTGAAAATTCGTATTAAGCAGTTATGAGTGAAGCAAACATTCTAATCTCGTAGTACATGTTCCCTTGTTTCCAAACATATAAAGAATGCCCAAAACGGAGTTAGTATGCAAAAGATACGACCGTTATAAGAAAACAATCGGTTTTTTATCAGAAAAGTCTCAAACTTTTGGAAAAACTTTCAGTTTAGTCACTATTTTTTTTTTTGAATAAAAAAAACCCAAAAAAACTGGCTAAACCTTATATTTTAATCCCTTTTAACCTGTTGAGCAGGTCACCTATGCCACATGGCATGCCAAATGGACAAGGGTTGATGTAGATGCTAACGTGGCATGTCACATCAGCGTATAGTTCTTTGAAATGAAAAAAGTGGATTTTTTTTTTTTATAAAAAAAAAGAGGTGAGTAGGATTCGAACCCAACATCTCCCACAGCACATGAAACAACCCAAAATATGACCCAAAAATTTTTGTTTTAAAAATTCTAAAATCACATCATATATAATAAAGCCATGTTAAGAGCAACTCAAATGTCATAGTACTGTGTCAAACAAATCTGTATCAATCATAGTAACATCCAAAATAAACTCCCAGGATAACTGAAATTGTGGTGTGTGCGATGCCATCAGCCTGAGCTCTTCCCTTTGCTTGCGGAAGTACCTGAAACCAAAACTAAAACTATAAGCACGAAGCTTAGTGAGCTCCCCCAAACTGCCACATACCATACAATAACATATAAGCAAATATTGGGCCTCGCCCACTGCATCGGACCGAAGTCGGGAAACTGCATCGGACCGAAGTCCGGAACTAACCAGAGCCTTACCCTCTGCATCATACCGAAGTCCCGAACTGCATCGAACTGAAGTCCGGAACTAACTGGGACCTTGTCCCCTGCATCGGACCGAAGTCCGGAACTAACTGCATCGGACCGAAATCCGGAACTAACTGGGACCTTGTCCCCTACATCGGACCGAAGTCCGGAAACTGACTGAGCATATCATAGCATAGCATAAACATATCAACTAGCATAAACACATATATTGTATATTGCATCATAACGAAATCCGGAAACACATAACACAAGGACATGCTTGAATCACAAAGACATCAAGCACACTAAACTACTGCATCGGACCAAAGTCTGGGACTACTGCTAACTAGACAGACCGGCATTGTGGTCATAGACCCATCCCTACTGGAAGGAAAACTCACCTCGTAACGCTGGTTGCTGAGATGCTAACTCTAACGCAGGCTAGCTGCTCCGGAACTGTCCGGCTACAAATCCCACAAAATACTAGGTCAGGTGCTGATAACTGAACTGAGGGTATAAAACCATTTTACCCCTACTTAAAGACAAAGTCCCTAGTCAAGGTCAACAGTCCATGTTGACCTTAACTCGCCGAGTACCCGAAACTTCTTCCCACTCGCCGAGTCACCGAGTTCTTACGATTTACGATTGAACCCTTAAGACTATTCGTCGGGTTTCCTTCTAACAACACGACGTATACACATGCATTCATAACTTGGGGGAAAACTCATCCGACTCACCGAGTTGTTCTTCAACTCGTCGAGTTTATGGCAACCTTCATCGGACTCACCGAGTTGTTCATCCAACTCGTCGAGTCTACGGGTATATTCATAGGACTCGCCAAGTCAACCTTGCGACTCGCCGAGTTCATGTTGTCCTCTATTACAGCATACTTGATTTGAGCCATGCAGCAGCTCCAAATCACAGATCCAGGCTTCTAGGGCATGTTTATCATGTAAAGTTGCAAACTTTACGTGCATGCATGACTATAATGGCTCTAAATGATGAATTTAAGTTCTTCAAGGAGCTTCATGCTCAAAAGAGACCTCAATCATGACCAAGACTGCAACTTTATGCTTCTAGAATCCAAGGAGAGTCCAGATCTGAGGTTACAACTTTAGATCTAGCCCATAATAATCTCATTAACTTATCATTCCATAAAAGAAACCCTAGAACTCAACCAATAGAAGAAATCTACAAGGGAATGGTGAAATGGGTACCTCTAGAAGATGATAATTGAGATAAGTGTTGATTCCCACACTCCACTTGCTCCAATTCACTTCTCCTCCCAGCCTTCTCCCTCCAAAGATCCTCTTTTTAAGCTTCAACACACAAAAGGGCACACACACGGATTAGGGTCTCACAAGAGCTCTTTAGAACTGTAAAGAGGCCCAAAGGGGGTTGAGGTTCCTTTAAATAGGGTGTAAAACCCCGAGAATTAGGGTTTCAATTGCCAGCACCTACTTGTCGAGTCCCAATATGGACTTGTCGAGTAGGTCACTTATTACGCGCTTCCACCCTGCTGCTACTCGATGAGTAGGGCGACAAACTCGTCGAGTAGGCCTTAACCCAAGAAATCTTATTGAAACCATACCTGATAATCGGGGCGTTACAACTCTCCCCCACTTATTTTAGACTTTGTTCTCGAAGTCTGCTGTAGATGAAACTGAAAACAATTCTGGATAGTGCTGTCTCATCTCTTCTTTAGTCTCCCACGTCCACTCGGAACCCTTCCGGTGCTGCCACTGCACCTTCACCAACTGAACCACCTTGTTCCTCAAGGTCTTCGTCTTCCGATCCAAGATCTAAACTGGTCTCTCGATATAATTCAGGTTGCTATCAACATGAATATCCTTTAAGGGTACAACCGCTGATTTGTCCACCAAACACTTCCTCAACTGAGAAACATGGAAAGTGTTGTGGATCTAGCTAAGCTCTGCCGAAAGATCCAACCAATAAGCAACCTGGCCCACCCGATCCAAAACCCTAAAAGAACCAATGAACCTGGGGCCCAACTTACCCCTCTTCCGAAACCTAATAACACCCTTCCAAGGTGACACCTTCAGGAGGACCATATCACCCCACCTGAAACTCCAAGTCCGAACGCCTCTTGTCGGTGTAACTCTTTTGCCGACTCTGCGCAGTCTGCAGTCTGCTACGAACCTGCTGGATCAACTCTATGGTCTTGAGCACCACCTTGGTGCTCCCGATGACTCGCTGACGGACCTCACCCAACAAATCGGGGTCCTACACTTCCTCTTATAGAGCATCTCGAAAGGAGGGCGGTTAATACTATCATGGTAACTATTGTTATATGAAAATTCCGCTAGTGGAAGATACGTATCCCACGTACCACCGAAATCTAAGACACATGCCCGGAGCATGTCCTCGAGAGTCTGAATCGTCCTCTCGTTCTGCCCGTCCGTCTGGGGGTGGAAAGCGATGCTAAAATGAAGACGAGTCCCCATCTCGTCATGGAACCGCTTCCAAAATTTGGAAGTAAAACGGACGTCTTGGTCTGACACCACCGA